CTTCTTTTATTTCTCTTGCCTTCCTGGCCATGCAAACAGGTACTTGAAATATGTTTGAAGCCTTCCGTACTGACCAAGAATTAGGAATCAGTGTAAGAATTTGGATTTTCTCCCGTCGACATGAAACCTCCAATTTTTCTTTCATGAGACTGACCAAAAAGTCTGAGTCGCTGGCTTTCTGGATAAATTCCTCTATCTGCTCTTTCCCTTCATCTGACTCCTCTAAATCATCTGGTTCCACATTTAGTATTGCTGCAACCTTCTTTGAAGCGGCTTCATTTATCTGTCGCAACTTTCTTTTCCCTCGCTTAAGTTTTGATGATTTTGGCAGAGAATGCACTTTCATCGGTGAAACATCAAGAGTAGTTAGCGTTTAGGGAGCCGTGGTAGACATGACGCTTGAGCATGGCACTGTCATCAAGAATGACAGTCAGGTCATGTTTGCCGCCCGCCTCTCTTATTGCTTTATAAAATATCACAAACTTTTTAAAAAAAGTGACATGCCTTTCATAGAAAGCAGCAGAAATTTAGACATAAACTCAACATTTTGATTTTTAACTAGGAAAAAGTGCGCTTAGACTTCAGGGAGCCGTCGTAGACATGACACTCGAGCATGGCACTGCCATCAAGAATGACAGTCAGGTCATGTTTGCCACCCGCCTCTCTTATTGCTTTATAAAAACTCCTAAACTTTTTAAGAAAAGTGACAGGCCTCTCATGTTAAGCCGCAGGAATTTAGGCATAAACTCAACATTTGGTTTTTGCTAGGAAAAAGTGCGCTTAGACTTCAGGGAGCCGTGGTAGACATGACGCTTGAGCATGGCACTGTCATCAAGAATGACAGTCAGGTCATGTTTGCCGCCCGCCTCTCTTATTGCTTTATAAAATATCACAAACTTTTTAAAAAAAGTGACATGCCTCTCATAGAAAGCAGCAGAAATTTAGACATAAACTCAACATTTTGATTTTTAACTAGGAAAAAGTGCGCTTAGACTTCAGGGAGCCGTCGTAGACATGACACTCGAGCATGGCACTGCCATCAAGAATGACAGTCAGGTCATGTTTGCCACCCGCCTCTCTTATTGCTTTATAAAAACTCCTAAACTTTTTAAGAAAAGTGACAGGCCTCTCATGTTAAGCCGCAGGAATTTAGGCATAAACTCAACATTTGGTTTTTGCTAGGAAAAAGTGCGCTTAGACTTCAGGGAGCCGTGGTAGACATGACGCTTGAGCATGGCACTGTCATCAAGAATGACAGTCAGGTCATGTTTGCCACCCGCCTCTCTTATTGCTCTATAAAATATCATAAACTTTTTAAAAAAAGTGATATGCCTCTCATAGAAAGCAGCAGAAATTTAGACATAAACTCAACATCTTGATTTTTAACTAGGACAAAGTGCGCTTAGAATTCAGGGAGCCGTGGTAGACATGACGCTTGAGCATGGCACTGTCATCAAGAATGACAGTCAGGTCATGTTTGCCACCCGCCTCTCTGATTCATTTATAAAATATCATAAACTTTTTAAAAAAAGTGATATGCCTCTCATAGAAAGCAGCAGAAATTTAGACATAAACTCAACATTTTGATTTTTAACTAGCAAAAGTGCGCTTAGACTTCAGGGAGCCGTGGTAGACATGACATTCGAGCATGGCACTGTCATCAAGAATGACCGTCAGGTCATGTTTGCCGCCCGCCTCTCTTATTGCTCTATAAAATCTCGTAAACCTTTTAAGAAAAGTGATATGCCTCTCATAGAAGGCAGCAGAAATTTAGAGATAAACTGAACATTTTGTAGGAAAAAGTGCGCTTAGACTTCAGGGAGCCGTGGTAGACATGACACTCGAGCATGGCACTGTCATCAAGAATGACAATCAGGTCATGTTTGCCACCCGCCTCTCTTATTCATTTATAAAATATCATAAACTTTTCAAAAAAAATGATATGCCTCTCATAGAAGGCAGCAGAAATTTAGACTCAAACTCAACATTTGGTTTTTGCTAGGAAAAAGTGCGCTTAGACTGCAGGGAGCCGTGGTAGACATGACGCTTGAGCATGGCACTGTCATCAAGAATGACAGTCAGGCCATGTTTGCCACCCGCCTCTCTTATTGCGTTATAAAATCTCGAAAACTTTTTAAGAAAAGCGATATGCCTCTGATGTAAAGCAGCAGAAATTTAGACCTCAACATTTACACATATCTTGAAAACATACACTCAGACATTTTAAACCTATACACACAAAACTACTATAACCCTCCAAATATTTCAAAAGAGAAGCAAGAGGCCATTCGTAGCCTAAAACAAATAGACAATATTTCAATAAAAAAAGCTGACAAAGGAGGCCAAAATGTAATATGGCCTAAAGACATGTATTAATGCGAGGCCACAAAACAACATGAAAATGCAAACTATTACAAAGAACACCCAGTAGATCACACAATTGAAACATCCGCCGAGATAACAACTTTTTTAACGCATCTCCTCCACAACTACCATATTGATGAAACACTTTTCGAATATCTTACACCTGACACGATGGGCATCCCAGGGAGGCCTATACTTTCAGGTTGGAGCTCCTCTACGGAGAAACTCTCGTCATACCTTGAACACTATCTTAGACCGATAGTAGAAGGAAGTGCCTCATATATAAAAGACACCACTCACTTTTTACAACAAATATTCAAAATACACACTAGCATTCTACCAAACTCATGGCTGGTTACGCTAGATGTCAAATCTCTATACACCAACATCCCCCAGGACGAGTATCGAGGCATGCCTCGAGGCCATCCGGAATCATTATGGGGACAACCCAACATTGCATACAAGTTACATGAAACAAATGATGGTATTCATACTTAAACACAACTATTTTATCTTTAATAGTAGATTTTATCAACAAATTCAAGGCACTGAAATGGGGAGCCCCTTCCCTCCCAATTATGACATCTACAGAATAACATATTTTACACAATGCCCCAATAGGGCATACTCCAATGTTTTGGAAAGATTCATTGATGATATATTTTCCATTTGGCCACATGCCCTTGAAGACCTACAAATTTTTATACAATACACCAATACCGTCCACGAAACAATAAAGTTTGAAGCAAACTATTCCAACACAAATATACTTGGATACAACAATAAACTTACACAAATAAGGGAAAGTTACCACCTCACTCTACCAAAAAAACAACAGACACTTGCAATCTCTTATACTGTGATTTTAGCAGCTACATCTCAAAAGCAATATAAAAGAAAGATTTCTACAACTCTGTTACTGGAAAATTTAGCAAAAAGGCTTGTTACATTAAGCATCGACTCAAGGCTTCCCATTTTACTCCAGGAAATAATCAGAGACCTTTCAATGGATGTACTACAAAACTTTTTGGTAGAGTTAGCAGTATGTGGGGAAGGCAGCCTTGATTTTTTAAAAGACTTTTGAAAGCAGTGCAAAATCCAGACATGGAACTACAGTGTTTGTATCATTATGGGCAAAGAAGAAGAAAATTAATGCTGTGGAAGGAAAGTTTGTGTGACATCATATCATATGTTCCTGCAAGTTATGCCTTGACAGGGATGTCCTAAAGCTAAACATAACAGCTCGTTGTGATATCCAAGCAGAAAACAAGGAATTAAACATGAGTCCTTTTTTGCAAAGCAGGGTACAGCCAATTCGTGCTATGCAAGTATGGACGTATAGGTAAGGGTAATAGAAACTGGCCATTAGCCGTAGCACACCTCCCAAGCATAATAAGAGGCTAATACCTCTCTGAATCGAGGCTCTTAAGTTCAAACATTGTTATGGAAATCCTTGAGATTGCAAATCATTGGATAATCATCAATGGAGACAGAGTACCCTGGGAAACAGAAAAAGCCCAGAAATTTGTTTTGGTTCAGAGTTGAGGAGTCAAAGCAAAGAAAAAACGTGTATGTTGAGAGATTTAGGCATGTCCTATTTTCGTTTCTAGATCAACAATGTGAAAACGGAAAAAGGGCCATGGTAATGTTCAAGGTTGGTATTATTCACTCAAGGTTTCTCATACACTTTCTTTAAACTCTTGCTAGGTTAGGTAGAGTACCGCAAATAAACAAACAGAATGGTAATGGAAATTTTCCAAGCTTTGATTTGTTTTTATCCATTTGGTTTCTTTTCATTGCGCATGGACTCCAATGTTTTTACTTGCATGTTTTTCAGGAGCATCCCATACCAATAACAACAATTAGATTAGAAGCGATCTGTAAGAGGCTTATAGCCTACATTACAGCATTTGTTATGTTATGTTATTCAAGTTGAATCAGATTAAGATATGTTTTTGTTGTGTATATAATTTGTAATGTAGCAGAATTTGAAATAATGATAAACTGAACGAAATTCTGCACAACAATTTCACACCTAAGAGTAGCCTATACGGTGTCGAGTACTTTATGACAGACGGATTGCGTGAACATTAAATATAAATTCAAAAGTCATTGTGTGAAATGTTTCGAGATGATATTATAAAGAATCAAAGAAAACACTTTCGTACGACGTTTCGCTTTCGCTTCGTCAATAAAATCAACCTAAATGACCATGGAAGAACAATAAAAACAAAAGAAACATAAGGGGAACCTACCTAATACAATGGATATTGTTAAATGTATAAAACAAAAATTGTTATGAGGAACCAGGAGAGAAGTTTGTAGAAAAGTAGAGAATAGAATGTGACACAGCAGATGGTGTTTACTGTCTCACAATGATAGTAAGATTTGAAATTCAAAAGACAAATCTGAGACATCAGATTTCAGAAATCAGTGGTAAAAGAAAGAGCAAACAATAATGAAAGGAAAATAATATCAAAAACAGGTGAAGAATAGAAGCCATTGACATATGCATAAAAATTCCAT